AGGTTTGGTGCATGGGTGGGAGCTGGTTAGTTTGCTTTGAAGGATGTACTGGATCAGGGTTGGGGTTCCCTTGGGGGCAGGGGATGGCCTGGGTGAGGGGACTGTGGTGGTTTTCAGGCTGGCCACGCCCACCTGGCAACCCAAACAGAGGCCCTGGTATCTACAATTTATTTATCTTCTATAATTAAAACTTTGTAGCCTTGAGTGGAGGTCAGGGCTGGCCAGGAGTGAGTGGAAAACTTGGCTTCCTCTATTGCTGGAGAAACCCAACCTCCTGCTGGCTCCGTGGCCAGCCTTTTTTGTTGGTATTTATTTATCTTCTATAATTGAAACTTTGTAGCTTTGATTGGAGTCCAGGGCCGGCCAAGGTGTGTGGGAAGCTTAGCTTCCTCCATTGCCAGGGAAACCAAAGCCTCCTGATATCTCTGTGGCTGGAGCCATCTTGATTGGGTTAATTTGCATACTGCCTCCTCATTGGCTGATGGATGAGGCTTGTGTGTATAGTGGAGGTATGGTCAATTTGTATATTTCCCTTTTATTAGAGTAATATATATATATATCAGTGTAATGCTGATACAACCAAAGACTGGACGGGGAACCATGGGGAACCAGGTGTGTGGCAGTGGTGACCAGAATGATGCAGCCAGGGTCACCCAGAGGTGCATGGAGCACCTCTTGGTCCCTCCCCCAGCCGATGAGCCACTTGTGGCTGTGGGCAGGGCTGTGGCTCATGCAGCATGGCCACAGTCTCTAATTGCAATAAGGCTGAAGGCCAGAGGACAGGCAAGGCAGTGGGAAGGTGGCATGGCAGACAGGCATGGAGGGGCTATGAGCATAGTGGGGTGGCAGGTGTGTGGGCAGTGCAGTGAGTGTGACGGGGCAGCAGGCAGGGTCATGTGATTTCTTGTGCTGGGCTTAAATTTATTCAGGTGCCATTGGTTAATAAAACTATATAGGTTTCAAATGTACAATTCTATGATACATCATCTATCTATATATTGCATTTTGTGTTTACCACACAAAAATCAAGTCTCCTTCCATCACTATTTGACTCCCTTTACCCTCTACTACCACAGGCCTCACCCCCTTCCTCTGGTAATCTCCATATACTTACCTGTGTCTATGAGTTTTGGTTTATTAGTTTATTTATCTTATTTGTTCATTGTTTTTTCATTTTATAACTCACATGTGAGTGAAATCATATGGTTCTTGACTGTTTCAATCTGACTTAGTTTGCTTAGCGTGATATTCTCAAGGTCCATCTATCTTGTTGCAGTGGCAGTATTGCATCTTTTCTTATGGCTGAGTAGTATCTCATTGCCTATATGAACCACATTTTATTTATCCAGTTATCAATGGAAGGACAATTGGTTGTTCCCATTTCTTGGCCATCACACATAATGCAACAATAAATATAGGGGAATATATATATATTTTTGTGAATAAATGTTTTAATTTTTAAGCTTGCTACCCAGAGGAAGGGTTTCTGGGTCATATGATAATTATATTCTTAATTTATTAAGAAACCTTCACACTGTTTGTTTTCAATGGTGACTGTACTGATTTACATTCACACCAGCATTGAGTGAGGGTTCCTTTTACTTGCCAACAACTTACGTGTCTGATTGGTGACAGCTATTCTAGCAGGTGTGAAGTGGTATCTCATTGTAGTTTAGTGAAGTTGAGCATATTTTTATATACCTGTTGCCATTTGTATGTCTTCTTGGGAGAAGTGTTTGTTCAGGTCTTATGCCCATTTTTTTTAAATTGGATTGTCCGTTTGTTGTTGTTGAGTTGTATGTGTTCTTCATATATTTTGGATATTAACCCCTCATTGGGGGTGTTATTTGCAAATATCTTCTCCCATTAAGTAGATTACCTTTTTGTTTTCTTGACAATATATTTTGCTATTCAGAAGGTTTTTAGTTTGAGATAGTCCCATTCATTTATTTTTTCTTTTGCTTTCTCTTCTTTGAGGTCAAATTCATAAAATTTTCTCTAAGACTACAAGTTTAGTATCTATATTTTCTTCTATTGTAATTTATTCTTTTCATACCTTATATTTAGGTCTTTGATCAATTTTGAGTTAAAGTTTGTTTATGATGACAAATAGCATCTAGTTTTTTTTAATATATTTTATTGATTTCATACAGAGAGGAAGGAAGAGAGATAGAGAGTTAGAAACATCGATGAGAGAGAGCCATCGATCAGCTGCCTCTTGCACCACCCCCACTGGGGATATGCCCGCAACCAAGGTACATGCCCTTGACCGGAATCAAACCCGGTACCCTTCAGTCCCCAAGCCGACGCCCCATCCATTGAGCCAAACCTGTCCCGGCGCATCTAGTTTTCTTATTTTGCATGTTGCTTTCTAATTTTACCAGGACCATTTATTGAAAAAGCGTTATTTTCTTCATTGCATATATTTGGCTTTTTTGTCAAAGATTTTTTTGCCCATATACATGTGGTAACTCAATTATGTCCCATTATTCTGTATAAAACTATTTCTTATACCACTGATATTAAATAATATTAATAGGCCATGATGTACATTAAACTTCTCTTGAAAATCCCCAATCTCTTTACACGTTAATGTTGGAAATAAAGAGGTCAAAATATACATAAATGATACTCTGTAGTTTTTTGTTTTTCCTGATATTATAAGTTTATTAGCACTGTGATTTTAAAAGTGGTTGATTTTCTTGATATAAAAAATGTATATAACTTTAATGTCTATGTGCTACATATTCTTGAGTTATTTTGTGTTCCATGCTTTCTAAGTGAAAGACTTAGCAACCAAGGAGGAAAGAAACTAATTTAAATATTCATAACAAAATATATCTCAGGTATTACTCTTAATATTATTGAAAGGTAAAGTAAGAGAGAAGCAAGAATATCCTTCTTAATTTGATATGTTTGAAAAATATTATATTTAAACAATGGAGTGGTGTGGTATTAAATTTCCTCACTAAAGCTGACTGAATTTGACAGTGATCTTATTAAAAGTACCCAAAAATAATTTGCTTTATGAAAGTCAGTGTAATTTTTACATTATCTAAACAAAAGATTTCAGAGGATTCATTTCTACATAAACTTTTATTAAAGTAACTTTTGAAGTATAATTTCAAATTTTTAAAGAAATAGCATTTGTTTATTATCTTTTGTGAAAAGTAGGTTTCATTCTAGCCAGTGTGGCTCAGTGGTTGAGCATCAACCTATGATCCAGAAGGTCATAGTTCATATCCTGGTCAGGGCACATCCCTGAGTTTTAGGCCCAATTTCCATTAGGGAGTGTAAGTTGCAGGAGGCTGCTGATCAATGATTTTCCATCATCATTGATGTTTCTCTCTTCCTCTCCCTTCCTCTCTGAAATCAATAAAAATATACTTAAAATATAAAACTTATAATATAGATTATTGTTAATTTAAATTTATGAAACATCATTTTTTAAAGCTTGAGGCAAAATAAAGTATTTTTTTTTAAATTAAAAGGATGGAACTAAGGTGTTGGAATTCAACCATGAGCTGTTTATAAGAAGTGTGGTAAATGAAAAAAAAAAGTCATTACAAAAGTGGGTGTTGGGAATACAGATGGGACAGCTATTGTTCTGTACTATAACTAGATTAATAAAATGCAGTTTTACAAGCCATTTAAAACATCACTGGGGAATACATTTTAGTACCAATTTGGGTGTCTTTTGCTTAATAAATTTTTGCCTTTTGAGTGAAAGTATTTGGCTTCAAATCCCAGATACAAGTTTATTAAAAATTGTAATGGTTCTTAGAGACTATAAAATGCAATGAAGTGCACAAAATGTGTGTTTCCAGTGATTGACTTTAAAATGATTTTTTACATCACTAATTTCAATATTTTCAACTTAAGCAGACTGTTGTTGAATTTAAATGATTATTAAATATTTAACCAGAATGAGAAAAAGAGAGAACCATGGAGAATGAAGAAGGTGTGTGTGTAGGGGGCTGGCAGGAGGAAGATATGGGTGTGTAGTGTATCATTTTTTAGTAAATTTTTTTCAATTTCTTGGTAGTTTTTAAATTAAAAAATGTGTGCCCTACATTAACATGTTGTGCTAATAATTATGAAACCAATGATATTTATGCAAAACAGTGTAACTTTAGATATGAATGGTAATAAAGCATAGTTAGTGGAGTTAGATATGTGGAATATGCTATTAAAGGATTTTTAAGTTATGATTCAAAATACACTTTTTTTTAAAACCAAAACATTTGTAATATGACTGAGTATTTCTACGTTTAGTACAATTCTACTAAATATTTTCCTTCTTCTAATAAATAAATAAATAAGAGAGAATATTTAAAATCTATGTAAAGGAATAAGTCTCCTACTGAAAATTCAGTGTTTACTGCTAGTGAGATGAACATTATGAAGTAGGGAGGCAAGACTACAGTGGGAAAAGGTCCTGAATTCTGTAATTTTGCATGAGAACTGACCTATAAGGAACATTAGCTTCTTATTGACATTTTTCCACCTTCTACACTAATAAAAGGGAGATATGCAAATTGTTGTACCTCTGTAATGCCCATCAGCCAATCAGGAGTGAGTATGAAAATTAACCCAACAAAGATGGTGGGTTAATTTGCATACATTGGTGTGGAGTGGCCTGGCGGGACAGGATGCCTGCTATGAGGGAGAGGGCAGATGGTGGAGGGAGCAATAGGATGCTCCTGTCAGGAGCGAGGACTTGCAGGTTCCTGAGTAGCTGGGAGTGAAGCCAGGGGAAGGAAGACCTATTCTTGCATGAATCTTTGTGCAACAGGCTTCTATTGAATAGTAATATAATAATTTTTGTGCCTGGCTAAAAGAAGTTTGATTTTTGTGGAGCAGAGCTAGAAGCAATATAAATCCGACTGAAATAACTATATAGCTAAGAAATGAGCCTACCACAGTTCTTCAGATGCTGAAAGAAGACACAAGACTCCTGGGTCACCAGAAAAGCAGAAGACAACATAGTTTTGCTCAGAGTTTTACAGAATCATTCAGAGAGCACCAGCTGGAGCCCATAGCAGCAGTGTATGCCACCAGTGAGGAAACCTGAGAGCACAGGACTCACCACTTTTGTAGCAATCAGTGAGCGAGACTGCTTTTTGATGAGAAGCAGACCAGATGCATCTCAGAACTACCTGATGAGTTCCTGTGATTTCATCTCAGTTCTCAGAATTCCAGCTTCATAAACGATCCACAAAGGAGGCCTGCAGGAAAGAGCAGTCAAGGCCATGGCCTCAGCAAACCTGTAAGACAACAGGAAGCTTGTTCCAGAGGATGTGATTGGAATGAGGTTTGAAGCAGATATTGTTATAGGTAAGAAATGGGAAGAAACACTGGATAACAAAAGAAGAGAGAAAAGTGTAGGGGAGCAGTCTGCTTTAAATAAAAGAAGCTTGATGTAAAGTTTTAATTAACAGCTATTAATTATTAAGTAACCTTTCAGAAATCCGGCTTTCTAATAGTTGCAGGGCAAGGTTGTATTTTTCACACTGTGTTCAGCAATGACTATTTCTAATGATAAGCTATATGCAGACTATGGCTTACATGTTTTTATACTTTAAAATAGACTATTACAAGCAATTGGTAATTCTGAGAAAAATCTTTAAAAACACTGCAAACCCTTTGAATATTGTAGTAAATAAATATTGATATGCTGATATGGTAATCCCATGTTCATATTTAAATGTATTTTACTTTTTAAGGAGCATATTGCTATTTCCGGAATAGGCAAATAAGAGATTGAAAAATATTGAGTTCTAAAGTATTAAAAAGGGATTGAGAAAAGTCATATTTAATGCTCCCTAGAGATAGGAAGGTTTTACAAAATACATTAGACTTATTTATTGCATTTATTGTAAACATTGAACAAATACCTATGATGCTATTTTACTTAAAATATTTATGGATGTAATGTACTTTGTTATAAGAAATTTCTACAAAATTTATGTTCTATTTTAATGGAATGGTAGACCTATTTTGCAATATATTTCCATTATTAAATCATTCATGCATAAATGGTAGAGTATATACTATACCAGTAAATGACAGAGTATATATCATATTCAGTGCTTCTTAAAACTAGCAACCCATTAGAATCACTTGCAAAAGTTGATTTAAAATGCAGATTGTGAGCACCTCCCATTTAGACTCTCATTCTAATGGGACCAGAAATCTGACTTTTCACAAACCCACAGTTGATTGAGGGAGTAGTTTCAGCATATGAGAAGTACTATTTCCCAATAACTGAAAATAGAGTGATTTACTAAAATTTTATCATTTTTTTCTTCTAAGGAACACAAATTGTGTTCATTTTATCTTTTTAGGAATTTTCTTTATAAACTCTTTTCCAGTTCTGCAAGTGTCTTCTGTATTTTTTCTTATTTAATCATTGGTGCAAATGTGTCTTAGGAGGGAAGCTTTTGGTTTGTCAAAACTATAATCAATCAGACTTTAGTCTTAAGAATATTGCCACAAAACAATTAAAAATATAGATTAATTCTTGAAGTGTTTAATTCTGTTTTAATTAGCAACTTTTCACTTGTATTTACTTAGTCCTCCCTCACCTGCATTAACATTGATACAGTTTTCAGTGCGTCCTTATAAATATGTCTGCATTTGTATATTTATTCTGGAAAATTCTAAGGGTAAATACATCATTAAGCTTCAAGGATCATTCTATACCTGAGGTCACATTTATAAACCAATTTGGAATTTCTCCCATGAAATATCTGGGAGTCTAAAAGGTTAAAAGTGGAGATTTATTACATGCTTCATACTATTGTAAATCTAAATATTATTGCAAAATTGCATTTATTTTTTCATAATAATAACCAGGTTTTAAGGCAATAATTCTTTATGGAAATTATTATTGGGGTATGGTATATTTAGAAGAAAGGTATATGAACATACATAATATCAGACTTACTAGAGGTCCAGTGCATGAAAATTCATGCCCTGCAGGAGTGTCCCTCAGCCCAGCCTGCCCCCTCTCACACTCTGGGAGCCCTCAGGCGCAGGAGGCGACCCGGAGATCAGGTGAAGGTGATGGCCCCATTACACCTCTGCTGCTGCCACTACTGGCAGTGCAAGCCTTGGAAGGCCTGGTTACCTGAGTCTCCAGTGGCCCTGTACCTCATTGTTGGCTGGGCACCTGCCATCTGAGACTTGCCTGGACCTGGGGCCAGCCCTGTGCAGCTGGGGGGCTGATGGCAGGTCCGGCCGCAACATGCACCTGCCACCCCCACCCCCGATGGGGTTGAAAGGGTTAGGAGACTACAGTGTGGCTTAGGGGACTAGGCTATGGATGCCGCCATCTTTGTGACGCTATGATGGTAAATTTGCATAGTCCCTCTTTATTAGCTAGGATGAGTGGTGAACACACAATACAATATACAGCTGATGTATTGTAAAATTGTACACCTGAAACCTATATAATTTTGTTAACCAGTGTCGCCCCAAGATATTCAATAAAAATGGGAAAAAGTACTTTAGAAATATTCTGTTTCAGACCATGGTGATTTGAGTTGATTGACACAGAGCTCAGGTGGAAGTAATCAACATAATGCCGTAATGAAGATGGTTGTCTCTAAAGCAGCATAGTCAAAATGACTGGTCTTTTGCTCATTTCTCTCTCTCTTTTTTTAAACTATATTTTTAACTCATTGAAACCAGATTTGAATGGATCTCTTTGAATAAAAGAGCAGTATAGCAGATGTATTGTCTCAAGGATTATCTGCACTCCGTCCTCAAACATCTCCATTTCTGGCCGTTTGCCTTCAGCCTGTTCTCCCTTTGATCAGCTACAGTCTGGCCTCTCCCTTCACTAGCTCACTGGAACTATTCCTGCCACCTCACCAAAGATTTTTAATGTTACTAAACCCAAAGGAAGCTTTCCAAGTCTTAATCAGTGTCATGCCAAGCCATATTGGAACCTTGATAAAGGTATGCACGTAATATATCCTTCTGTCTGCATTGTGGATCAGAAAGAGGCCAGCAAGGAGATTAGAGAAACTTGTTAGCAGCCTGTAGAACTGTTCAACTGAAATAATGAGAACGTGGAAGAAAGCAATAGCAGTGGAAAGGATTATATACATGTATCTCCTTTTTCTCGCATTGACTTCTCCTTGGCACTTCCACCCCCCAGCACATGCCCTCACCTTCCTAGTGTCCGTGTTCATTGGTTATGCTTATATGCATGCATACAAGTCCTTTGGTTGATCTGTTAACACCCACCACCTCCTTCCCCTGCCTTCCCTCTGAGGTTTGATGGTCTGTTCATTGCTTCTCTGTCGCTGGATGTATTTTTGTTCATCAGTTTTTCATCCTGATTTCTTATGTACAGTTTCAGAAGCAGCTACTATTTGAAGTAGGCAGCTTAATTATAGAAATATATTAAACTATCTAGGGAAGAGTTAGAAACTGTCCAGGTAAGTGATCTACAAATATCTCTTTCTACAGAAAATCATAAAGTGATCTTTTTAGCTCTACTGAAGATACTAGAAGATGCCCTGTATTATAACAATTCATACTTTAAACTTACATTCTTTTTTCTAAAATTTAATTTCAACATGACGCTTCTTTGAGTGCTTGTTATTTGCTTCCCTTGCCATATTTCATTAGCTAGCTCTTTTAGTGCAATGTTGAAAAGGAGTGATGAGAATGGATGTCTTTGTCTTGTTCCTGATTACAGAGGGAAAGCATCTAGTTTCTCAACATTAATATGGTGTTAATTGTAAGGTTTTTAAAATATATATCAAATTGACAAAGTTTTTTTTTTCTATTTCTAAATTAATGGAGAGATTTATCATGAATAGGTGTTGAGCATTGAAAAATATTTTTTGGCATCTATTGATATGACCACATGATTCTTCTTCTGTAGACTGTTGATGTGATGGATTGCATTAATTAGTTTTTCAATGTTGAATCAGCTGTATATGTCTGGGATAAATTCCCCTTGGTATAATTATTTGTATATACATTGTGGGTTTCTTTGTTAAAAAAAAACATTTAAAATTTTAGACATTTTCTAAATTTAATTTGAGCTTCTTTAAAGAACGGACACCCTGAGCTTATCATCTCTCATGGCAACATTCTGCTGGAGCTGATAGCTGTTGAAACAACCCACTCCGCCACAGTCCTTGTAGCTCTTTAGTTTGTGAGTATGTGTAGTTGCTTTGTTTATTTGCATTGCCTGCTCAAATGTTTCAAGCCTATTTCTGCCTTGGAGCTAGCTGACATTCTCTAAGCACTGTCATTATTTGACCTCTCTGTGATCTAAACTTATGTACCTTGTTGAGACTATTGACCCCTTTGCACTGTGACTCTATTTTCTTCTCATATTCTTCCTGCTTCTTTTACCTGACTCCTTCAATGATCATATTTTTAAAAGCTGAAGTTCCTTGGAATCCTGCTATTTTTTTTCTCTGCCCACTCAGCATAGGTGATCATCCACTCACATTGTTTTCAGGTCTTAGAATCCCTGATATTCCCCTCTGCCCATACTACTGGCTTACATTAATATTATTCAGATAGTTAGGGGGAATATGAATGGTGCCACATATACCAAGAAGCCATAGAAAACATCAAGGAAACAATGATTTGTGATAGGCTTTCAAAGGGAAGAGTGAGTCACAGATTTTAAATGTCAGAGGTAGTTAGAGAAATGGGGGGAAAAAGATCTACATCATGAAACATATTGTCTGGAAATGTGTTCTGTTTATTCTCACTAGTATAGTGAAAATTTTAATTGACAGGTGAAGAGATGAAGCACCAAAGTGTCCTATTTATTTAACAGCTAAAGACTGTTCTAAAATCCAACATAATCTTACAGACCAGCCTGGAAAGGAAATAACCTTAAGGTCTTCCTTTGTTGAAGGATATGTAATTTTAAAATAACAAGTTTAGCCAATGAGTAGAATATTATTGTCAATTAAAAATAGAGTATTGATACATACTATGATGTGATAAACCTAAAAAATATTAGGCTAAATAACGGATATCAAAAACAAAGTCTATATATTATATGATTACAATATCACATATCCAGAAATGACTAGTCTAGAGATACCAAAAGCCAATCAGCAGCTGCCTGAGGCTGGGATTAGGAGTGGGAATTGAATACAAAGGGGCATAAGTAGCTTTTCAGATGATAAGGTAGATATTCTAAAATTGGATTATGATGATGGCTGCATTATTGTATACATTTACTAAAACTTGTGTTATATACAATTAATGTATTGTGTACATTATTTCCACATAAATCTATAAAAAATAGCAATCACTAGCCTTTTTCTATACTAGTAAGGCACAGTGAG